TTCACTTGCATGACAATGCTGTAGTATAAAGTGAATGTCTTCTGAAGCAGTCTGGGGTGGATGGTTGCTTGTACCACCTGGGAAGTTTTGTTCTCAGTACATTGGACCATCTCCTCTTTAGACATGAAATATTCATGCTTCATGCAACTGAGATCAAAAGAGAGGATGGTTTGAATCTCTAGGACAAATGTTCAGTGTCAGCTGGTGTTCCATTCTAAGAACAATCACAGATGTGTGCAAGTCCCCGTGATTTTGTGTAGCATGCTCTATAACACCAGAGTAATTTGCCGTGGAGTGTCTTTTATTTTATCCAAGTGTCCAGGGCTTACAATGATGGAGGAGAAGAATTATGGGATAACAGTACATAATTGCTTGCTTGCGCTGGAAAATAATAGTAGCCTAATGATGAAATATTTATGTATTCTGCCTTTGACTTTTAAAATACTGCTCTTACTACTGGACTTGATGCTGACTCACCCTACCTCTCACTGTTTGTCTTACCAAAGCTTTTGTTAGTAAATCTTCAGCACTTGTTCAGAGATGTGCTGGTTGCTGCTCTGGGCACATCTGCTTCTCTGTTCAGTGCTGTGGTTAAGTCCAAAGTGACCCTCTGCCATCAGCGGGGCTTGCTTGAAATTCAGTGGAATCGTTTTCCATTCCTGAAGGTATAGAAGACCTTTGGTTCTCTAAATTCAATTTCTTTTCCTAATACCATGAGCAAAAGGTGTCAGAGACAAGAAGGAGGTCAAATTCAGGCCAAGTCAATTGAGATTGATGTGCATATTTGTATAGGTTAAACTTTGAATGCATTTGAAACTTTCTGCATATACTAGTTGGGTAGTTTGTTGGAGGGGGTTAATTATTTTCAAGCAAGCTGAAGACAATATTAACCATGTGACTATACACAGAAAAAGTGTTTCTCACTACTGTAAATCCTAGGGATTTCCCTGGGAAGGATAATTAAAGCAACATGCTGTGAACGCAGCTAATAAAGTAGTTGCCTTTTGAACTTTTGAGTAGGTCAGCCAGGTCCTTGTGGCCCTGCTCTGCTCTGCTCCACACTTTCCCCTGCTCTCCTCCCCCAGATTATTTTTAACCCTGATGCCTTTGTGTAACCACTGTAAACTCAAGCTTCATGGAGAGATGTGCTTAGCACAATTAGGGAATGGTATTTTCAGAGGTGGGGACTGAAACACATGAACTGGGAGGGGCAGGGTTGCCTCAAGGCAGCCAGGAAAACATGAAAAATTATAGCATAAGGTATGTGTAACTTAAGTCCTCTAAATATGATAGTTGTGTAAGTATTAGGGTGCAACTATAACCTCCATCAACTTCTGTGTGTTTGTTAACTTTTCCCTTGTTATGTTTTGACAGTCACAAACATTTGTTTGTAAATGGACCAAGGAGGGGGAAAAATGTCTCATATGCTAAAGCAAGATTAATTTTGGTAATGGAGAAAAAAGAAAGTCTTGGAGCCTTGAATGGGGTGAGAAAAGACGCTCTCAGCATAATCTGTGAATAGTGATTTACAGTTTTTTGTCCCTTGTGCCATCTCATGGCTCATATAAGCTGTTAGTCCTTTTAACAGAGCCTTCCCTCTACACTTCAATTTGAGCTTGTCTTTTTTAAGCATTTGCTGGAGTAAGGGGATAGCTCTTTTCTCACAATGCCTAAAGTTTTTTCCCTTGCTCATGGTCAGTCAGTGGCAATGTGCCTGCTCTACAGTCAGGCCTGCGTTTGGCTGGCATCATTTGTCTCACACTTTCATCAATCCCTAAAATTACTATTTGTAGTAATTATAGTTAAAAACGTTAAGACAACCATAACATTTCCACTAAGCCTCTTCTTCACACATGAAATCAATATACGTAGTTGTGTTATTTTATCTAAAATATTTTTAGTTTTAACTATAGCTATCATAAATCAGCTTTTTGAAATGATCTTGTTTTCTGTTTAATGTGAGAATGATGTATAAGTCATTAAAATGTTAAAATTCCTTTTTTGAGAGGCTAGCCAGTTTATTTTGACATGGTCAAGCTGATATTGGTGTATTAATGTGGCTTATTGCACTTCATATAAAATTTATGGCAGAGTGATTCAGAGATCCCAAGATGAACTGAGGAGAGTTGTGCAGGGTGTGGTGCATAATATTAATAAAGATACAGTTTGTCCTGAAGACTGTATGATCGAAGACCTGGCACAATTCCATCTTTTTCCTCAAGTTTCCAGTTACAGTTGTCCTACTGAGATTCGCTGTTGGCCAGGTTTCCCAGTGCTCACTTGTGAGTTATGGAGGGCGTTGAGCTGCAATTCCATATGGTCAGTGCATGGTGGTGGTCTTCAACGGGGTCTACACTGAGCTGTTGGTGGTGCTAAAGGTTGGGATTTGATGTGAAGAGAAAGGAACTCCAGGGTTTTGGGTTATAAAAAGGTTTAGCTGTGTGCTACCATACGCAAGATCAGTTGTTGGTGTGAATATTTGTAAAATCCAGCAGTTGCCTCGTGTCGATCATCAGGATTGCCCACCACTGCAGCCTCTGACCCTTCAGCAGCTGCTTTGGCCATGATGTTTCTCAGGATAATCAAACTGCCATAAATCACCAAGACTTTTCACGTGCCCTGGGATTGATAAGAGGTTTCCCTGCTCTCCAATGTCACACATTGTACCAGTGACCTAGGAGAGCTCCTGCAGGTTGCTGGGAGTAGTCTTTGTTACTCCAAATGGCTTTATCCAGGTTGATGTGAATCAGTGGATTTAAAAAAAAATATTTACATAACAGACTTATTTCTTGTACTTCATAACCTTATGTAGATCTCTATATAAAGTAGAATTGTTTTCCCCTGTATCTGTGCAGGCCAGGGACAGCCCAATAAAAAAGTCACCAGAGGAAGCTGGAGACTTTGCAAGAGAGGGAGAGGAAGTGTTGCGAAATATGGAAATATGGAATATGTGACTGCAACAGCTTTTCCAGTTAAGTTTTCTTTTCACAGAGAAGTTCTTATTTTATACTGTGGAGGAGCCCAGGTTTCATGTTTTTCAGGTGACACAGGGACATTGTTCAGGCATTGTCTCTGTGTGTGGGCTATGTGTGTGTGCCTACTTTCACAGCTTAATACGGATAAGTGCTACCAGAATGTAATCTTTTAATTTAGCTCTCTGTTGTCTACTAACTCATGAAATATTTTTAGGTGACTTAAGTACAAGTGATTATGTAGATAAGCAGGGGTGAGTCTTTAAAAATAAAGTGCTTTTCACTGTCAACCCTGAATTGTTTCACCAATAAACTATATTCCCCCTCTGCTACTTTTCTGTAACTATTTTGATTGTGTGGCTGGATTTGTTCTGACTTGCATGTTTTATGTACAGAACATCATAAGCTCAAAATGTTCGTATTGTCTGCACAATCTTAACAGTTTTCATGTAAAACAAGAAAACATTTCATGGAGCAGAGCAAATTTCGAAACCATTACACTGCTGGCTGCTCAGGTGTCACACGATGCAGCAATGGCAACATCCTGGTTATGTATTGCCTTTCCTTGGCACAAGAGGTTCCACAGTGGGCAGGGTGGACCTTGGATCTGAACTCCCAGGGTTGTGCTCTTGAGACTGGTTTTGTCTTTTATCATACTGACTCTCAGAAAAGAGTGACTGGATAACTTGCTTATCAAGTGTTCCCTCCCTTTTTTTACATGAAAAACTCATGCAGCAGTGAAGGAAATAGTTTGTGTCTACAGGGTGAAGCATACAAGTTCATTTATGAGACTCCATGCATGCAAATAGCATTTATGGCCATGTGGTAGAGCATATTGGATACATCAAATCAGCATTCTGGGCTCCGGAAGTTTTTTCCCCACTTGTGCTGAAAAAATGTTGGCAGGCTGGGCTGCAAATGGGGAGGTGCAGACTGCACCTGCTACAGCCTGAGTGCATTATAAGGAGCCTTCCATAACAGAGATAAAACATCACCCCTGCAATTAAAGGTAAAGCTACAGGCCTCAAATTCTCATGTTCTGTGTGGCTGTCAGCGACCCACTTAGTTCTCACTTCTTGGCAATAAAGTGTGTCTGGCTCAGTTCCAGTTTACACTGAGTAAAGTGTGAGTTGCACAGCTTGACTATTTGTGTTGACTTTTACATTGCACAATGTAACTAGGAAAAAAGAATGTTTTAGATTTAACACAGCAACACAAAAACAAGGTTCAAATGCACTCAGGTTCTTATTTCTTAAGAAAAATTATATCTTGCTGCCATACAGTCTCTTTAATGTGGTATCTGAAAAGAGATGATCATTTTATTAGCTTGCTCTGCTAAAAAGCAAAGGGACTTAAATATGCAGCACTGGATTAGACTATTTGATTAGTAACCAGTTTGGTCTGTAGTATGACAAATTGTTTATGGCTGCATTGCTACTGGAAGAAATGGTGTTTGACACTCCTGTATCATCATTATCTTTATTTCAGAACAAACATTTATGTTGATATGCAGTTAACTGGCAGGGTAACTGATGCAGCTAAAAATTAATCCATTTAAAAACCCTTACAAGCATTTGCTGGTATGAATCTGAAGATGTGATAAAGGAGAAAAAGATTGAATGGCTAGGCAGGCTGGGAGGAGATATGACTATTTTTAAATGCAAATTAATTTGCATCAATTTAAGGGTAGTTTGGCTTGAGTACTAGTGTAAGGAATTCCTGCAAATTAGTAAAATCAGTTAATAAAATTTTGAGCAAATGCTACTTATCTAGTTATTTCCAGTTCCACAAATTGAATTTAGGAAATACTACCATCTGAACACACATCTTACTCATCTGAATAGTGTGTAAAGTAAAAAAATCCCAAATCTATTGTAAGATTAAAAAAAAAAAAACAAAACTTTCAACTCAGATATTTATGATATTTGATGTCCCCATGAGATTAATTTCAGAATTAATTTAATTTTGAGGTGCCTACCCTTTTTTTTTTTTTTTTTTTTTTTTGCCTTGAAAGAGTTGCAATTATTTATTTCTGTGTCATTGCTAAAATATGTAGGAGGGAGGATGAATAGTTAACTTTCTAGTGCCACAAAATAACATTGGTGACCCTCTTCTCAGTCCATATTCTCCTACATATTTCCCCATCCCTCTCCACCGGTCCCCCATATTCCTGAAGTGTGTGTGCTGCTGCCAGCTGACGTACTTAGCTGACGGTGTTTGCTAAAGCCAAGTCTTTGATTCAGACTGGAACCTGCTTCATAGGGAGGCTGGAACTGAGATCAAGAGACGCCCAGTTTGCTTCCAACAAGTCTCCTGGCAGACAAGATATTGGAGGGGGAGTGGGGGGGAGAAAGAGCAGACTGTTCCTTAAAAACAAGCAGGCGAGAAATCGCAGGAGCAGAGCAGCTCAATGTGCTCCTGAGAGGAACTGCTCCAATGCGGGGTAGCCCAGCCCGAGTGCCCAGACCCCAAATCAGTCACACCAGTTAAGGATGCTGTGCACACACTGCTGGTTTGCAGTGCTGGGAACTCTCAGTAAGATGGATTGCACTGCATAGAGAAAATGGAGATGTCTGAAACCAGCCAGAAAAGATCAGCATAAAAGGTAGGTTAATGTTCTGTTGCTAGGTGATCTAATAATTTGGTCCCTTTTCTGTTATTCTGTCTGGTGGTATTTATTTTTATATGCATTCAGTGCATTATGAAAGATATAAATATATCAAGTCAGTGCTTTCTGGGGGGTTCTTTCTCAATATAAATTTTCTTTGCATTTGGTCTCTTGCACTTTTTTTTTACTTTAGTACTTCTTGTTTCTCTTACCTCATTGTTATTTTTGAACTGTTTTTGTGATTTGACATTGAAAATAGTTGTTGCAACAAAAGCAACACAGGAGATTACTTAGATTTTACAAAGTGTCAGATGAGGATGCTCAGGATGTAATGTTGCAACATAAAATCAACAATTCCAAGTTTGTGGAAAAAAATTGCAGCTTTCATTAAATGAGACTTAATCCTAAGTAGAGAGATAAACAGTTTCCTGACAGAGGGGGTATGTTCTACTTTCTCTCAGTAGCCCAGTTACGGGTATAAAATACAGAACAGGATATGGAAGCCAAACCCATGAGCTATATAAGGCATCAAAGCACGGGAGGACACGACCTGTTTTCTTTTGTATCAGAATTCAGTTCAGCATGAACCAGGAGGGCAGAGCTGGGAGGGGAAGTGGTGTAAGATTAACAAGTTACTTGTAGCAAGACCTTGTAAGTCCTTTTGTTTTACAGGTCCTTAAAATTATTTTCAGCGGAGATGAGGATTCTGTGTAACAAGAATTTATCCATTCTAAATTTCAGTTCTTAGTTAGGCCCCACATTCGAGCAGTTGAACCAAGTGTGGGGAAACTGCTCTTCTTTAACTTCAAATCTCTTTTTTTGCATGTCAGCATGTGCATGTTATTCAAAATGTGGGCTAAAATGTGTGCCTCAGCAGACCATGAGTGATGGCTTTCACCAGGATATAATCAGATCTGAGTTTGTTTTTGATTTCTCTGTATGTTTCTCTGTTCTGACCAGTCCAGATATAGTGTGTTGTTGCTATTTGGGTTTCTCATTTCTACCTGTGCCTCGGTCTCTGCAACCACTCTGGAGCATGCATAAGAAATGTTAGCTAGTACTGTTCAGGAAAGTGGTACCTCACTTTCTTTAATTCATAAACAGCATTGTAGGGGGTGGAAGCCAAAAGTAGCCTTGCAGCAAAGCTGATTTCTTCTCTAGGCACAAGTATCACACACACACAATTGAAAGAAAAAAAAAAAAAAAAAGTTGGGGGGAGGATCCTCTATCACAATTCATAGATGTTGAGATCTGGATTTCCTGTGAATACTTTTGTCTTATTGCTGGTTCTGTGCTGAGAAGGAGATACCAATTTTTTGGTCCCCTAAAGCTGATGGCATTTTTAACAAATATCCTCTTTCTTAAAAAAAAAATCAAAGATGCAAATAAATAATAAAAGAATGGTTGATTTGTTTGAAAATTTTCCAGGAAACAGTAGGGGTTATATGAGAGTCAGCCTGGAACCAACAGAGTGGGCATTGAACCAGACCTAATAAGAACAACTGGACCCAACACCCATATTATGTTCAGTAATGGACGGGTTTTGTACTACAAGGACTTCAGTGTTGTAATCTTAATGGCTAGAGGTAACAAACCAGGCTGAAAGGAAAGAGGAAAAACTAAAGTCCAAGGCAATTAGAAAAATCTCTTTTGTGGATTTTGGGTATTACCAGTCACATTTGTGCCATTTTTACAGATGAATGGGCTTTTCTCTGTCACTGTAAGAATGAATTGTAATGTAATGGATTTGAACTAATTATGTCCTATAAACCTATAATAATAATAACAATAAATGTGTTTTGAAGTTCAGACATGCATGTAGTTGGTCCAGCCAACTGAGTCAATCAGCAACTGAGCAAGTCTCCTACTTGGGGTTAACAGTTCAGGTTTTTAGGGAAATAAATGGGCAGATAAGACAACTCCAGGGAAGGAGGAAAAGAGCAGGAGTCACAGCTGGTCACCAGTTCAAGCAAGGTTCTTACTATCTGCATTTCTAGACTGCTTTTAGTTACCTGCAGGTGATGGAAGGTGTCTGTTCTGGCTCAGAGGGAGGTTCTTATCCCAACACAGATGGAGAACAGTGAAGGCTGACAGGTCTGGTCTCGAGATTTTTGTGCCTTGTGGCATGTAGCCAGTGATCTCATGGTCTTTTGTTTTCTCCTGATGCTTTTTTTCCTTTTCTTCTTAAACCCCACCATACTGGGCAGGGGGAAATGAAAGATACACACAGGGCAGTGGAGCAGAGACTTAATACACAGTTACATTTATAAGGGTATTTTTCCCAAGCTGAGTGGTGGTCAGATCCCCAGACACCATCCCAAGAGTTAATTCTTTAGAAAAATTTAAGCTCCTTTCATATTTCTACCAGATTTTCCCCAAACTCTCACTTCCTTGAAGCAAATCCCACTTTCTCCCCAGCATCCACAAACTGATCACACATCCCAGGCTTTCCAGAGGTCAGTCAGCAAATGCTGAATGAACTCCTACTGCACCCGAGCAGCACATCCAAAACTCACCAATGTGTTTCCCCAGCCTCTGGAATGAAGCCATCAGAGTTCATGGAGCTTGTCTCCAGGATGTGAATTATACATCCCAGAACATGGTATGTTCATCCAGCATGCCAGGTACCTCCTGGGAGCTCCGTGTGTGCAGCTGGATAATGTTGCATACCAGATGAGGTCTTCTTTTTCTCTCTCTCTGTGGAAAAAAAAAAAAAGGCAGGAAGAACAAAACCAATTAAACCTGTAGGAACTGTTGTGTTTCATCTCAATCCCAAATTTTATCATAATCTGTAATATACAGGAAAGTCATAGACATATTTGGCTCTTACTCACTAATGCTTTCCCAGCTCTGTTGGTGGTTTCTGTCTGGAGTTTCATACTTAGTTAGAGGGCTGCAGTGCCCCAGGATTTCATCCTTGTGCTCTCCCTTGCACTGTCACCAAAGCTGTTTGGGATTCAGTGTGGGAAACTGGCTGAAAACCAGTTTGCATCCTCCTGCCAGCCTGGGTCATGGAGTGGCTGAGCAGCAGAGGGTGTTCCCAGGACTGAAAGGACTTGCTGCAGACAGGAGGAGGGCTTGGGCTGCTGAAGCTGGTTTTGACAGTGGTTCCCAGTGTTTCACCTGGGAAATATGTGAGATTACAGTAGAGGCAGTTTGGATGCTCCACATTGGCTCACTGTTCACAGAATACTCCAAAAAGTAATTGCAGTGACACAAACGAGGGATGGGTGAACTGTACGACAGAGCAAGGACACTTTGATCTACTGATACCAGAATGTCAAACCACGCTGTTGAGCACTGCTTGACTTGGGCTTTTCTCCTCTGAAGATGTGAATTTACATACCAAATATTTTTTCATGCAAATATTTTTATATTAAATGTATTATTGACTGTAGATATTTGCATGTTAAAATGTATTTTCATAATACACTTATCTCATCCTTCAAATCCTGATTCTCTTTGTTCCTCAAACTTGAGAAAGTGTCCGACTTCAGTAGCTTTTGAGGAATGGTGTTACTGAGTGTGCTTTTGAGCCTGATTCTTTGTATGAAAATTCAGGTGTCTGCTTCTTTCCTTTTGATCCAGTTTTGTTTGTGTTTACAAATGCTTATCAGTATTTTTAATGAGATTTTTAAGCTTTCTACCAAGACATGAAAGTATTTTTGTGGTTTTTTTTTTTTTTTTGTCCTAATGTAATGAGCCTCAGTGAGAATCTTTGCATACAATTGCACACAAAAGGAGAAAAGCTAAAGCTCAGCTGTTTGCCATGGATGTGGCCTCAATGCTGTGTAAGCCAACATACAACCTCTGCAGTTCCCTCAATGTCTCCAAGTGTTTAGTGAAAGAGCAGGTACCAGCTGGAGCTCAGTGGAAATTCCGTGGTGGTCTTTGAGTGTCCTGAAGCCTTACCTTTAAGCTGTAGTTATGAGATGCTTTGAAAATTCTGTAATTGAGGAATTTCTTCATTCACGTTGGGAGATGAGCTCTGAGCAGATATTAAACAGGCCTTCTCTTCTGGGTGTTTGCTTGAACAGCTCAGGAAGGAGAGCTGTAAAAAAACCTTGGGAGGTGGTAAGTGTAGTGCAAATTTACAGAGGAAAGTTTGTTATAAAATGTACAATGGTAATTTCAAATGAAACTCATAATTGTGTGCTTTTTGGTTTTTATTTTACCTCAAATAAAGATGATTGTACACTATCAGAGAACTTACTAATGTTTTTAAACCATTTTTCTAGAATCTTTCCTAAATTTTCTGATTGTGATAGTTACAAATTTGTTCTCCTTTCATTTTAGATGATCTACAGAGATGCAAAGGGACATTAGTTGTGTCCAGACTTTGAAGTTCCGTGCACTGCTCTCCTTTGAACTAACACTTTTCCCTGTTTTTCTTTTGTTTCAGGGGAAGCCTTCCCTGCACAGTGTTGAAGCATGAGTGCTGATGGCAGCCAGGTGGTGATCACTACTCCTCCCCCTGCCACGATGCCTCACAAAGAGCGGTACTTCGATCGCATCAATGAGAATGACCCGGAGTACATCCGGGAGAGAAACATGTCCCCTGACCTCAGACAGGACTTCAACATGATGGAGCAAAGGAAGAGGGTCACCCAGATACTGCAGAGCCCTGTGAGTGCCACTGATGGGGAGTAAAAAGGAAAGTGTGTAATAAAAAAAGAAATCTGTGTCACAGCTAGAATATCTCTGGACCAGCTTCTAAGAAAAGTCACAAAACAGATTATCCCGCATTTTGTTGGTGTGGCGTTTTGTCTGTGGATAAGCCTTTATTGCGTTGTTTTTTCTCCTTATACTTTTATATTCTTATGGTTCATTGCATTGTTACAGAAAGATGTGGCTGGCTGCAGGGTTCCTAATTAAAACTTAGGGAGGAGGAAGAGAGTGAAGGAGTCACTGGTCAAATAGGAACAAATTAGGGCATTACATGGTGTTCTGCTTTCTGGGTTTGATTATTAACCTATCATTTGCATCAGGAATGCTTTAATTAACATTTATAATTGGGTTAAGTTTATTTAAAAGCTAGACTATGTTCTTTTTTTGTCCTTGAGGGTGATCATACCCCTGTTTAGCCATATTAGTGCTCATCTACTGGTTGTGTAAGTTCAATACTTGTGTAGACTACATATAAAACTATTCAATCTACTGAACCACTTCATAGTAGTTTTAATTTATATTTTAATACCTATATTCTTTGAGTTTAACCTGATGAATACATTGGAAAGTAATGCTGTTGCCTTGAGTATTTTGAAGCCATAGGGAGTGAGTAAGGCCTGTGGAATGATCCTTTAGGGGTATCCATGTGTAATGTGAGTATTGAGGATAATGGGACTGGGAGGGGGCTAAGCAGATTTACAGATCTTTCTGTCTTCAGTTCCTGTGTAAATTGGGGTGCTTCTGTAATTTTTTTTTTGAAGCTTTTCCATATGTAAAGAGATTGCAAACAGCTGTTAGTAATCACCCTATTATACTCATCCATGAATAACAGGATTGTTTGCTAAAGTGTTGTCGTGGAGTGTCTCTTGGATCTGTGTGTTGCTTTGAGTATAACGTGAACCTGTTGACTAAGGAATTTATTATTTTTCAAGTCAATTTGCACAAGCTGGGGTTTGCAGCCGAGCTCTTTTGTAAGGAAAATGCTCTAAAGAGATACTGCATAATGTTTTAATCGTGATAATTTTATGCTAAATACTCAATTGTAAAATGTGATCAGTCTACTCATTCCTGTTAAAATCCTCACATTATGAGTAGCCAGGACTCACAGAATGATGAAATCTTTAGCCTAACAGATAAAAATAAGTTGGAGGGATCATTTGGTTTTGTATGTGGGGGTGGTTTTTTGGTCCTTCTGATGACAGTATTGACCCTGATGAGTGTAACTATTTCATTAACGTTTTGGGGCATCTTTTGCCAAGTCTGCCAGATGTAATTAATGTCCCTTTGATGCAGCCTCTGTGGTTTTTTTTTTGTAGATGCAGTGTCAGCATGCAGATTTTAGGAAGGAGTGTGAAGAAGGGCATGAACCCCTGAGTTTAGGCTGCTGTTTTAACAGAAGGTTGTGGGACAGAGAGCTGCTGGGCTGCTGTCAGTGTCCTGGTGCAAGAGAAGCTGAGCCCAGCACTTTTTGGAAAGTGACTGTTCAGAGCTGCCAATAAGTTGCAAGTTTTTGTTGTGTAAGGGAACAGTTGTCCAAATAAGCCAGGGGCCTGCTGCCTGCTTGGCTTAGAAATGGGAACGTGGGAGCTGAGTGTGGATCAGGCACGAAGAGGAGTTGTTTGAGCTCCCACTTCCCCTCAAATATCTCCTTTTATCCTCCCTTTTCCTGATACAGAAAATTTAGAGGAACTCTGCTGTGATTTCTCACGCAAGGAAATGAAAGCATTTTTGTACAGTATCTGTGAGCAAATGTCCATCAAGTGAATGTCATCATTTATTTGGGGTGGAAGGTATAGTGCTTTTTCCAGGCTCCAGCTGCTGAGTGCCATACTGTTCCTGGGACTCAGGACTGAAAACATTTACATTGTTCTCTTGAATTTAGAATTCATCACACAGTGGCCAGAAAGTATTGTTCTTGTTACCAGTCTGTGTACACAGGTTCAAGATTGAACTGATGAGCATTGTCCATAGTGTTTTCATTCTATAGCTGCAGAATTACATTGTGTTAGATATTTTCTTTGTTGCTTTTCTGGATTATTGCATTTGACAGAATATAGTTGATGTTTAGAAGGTGTTTAGAAGAAGAGAAATTATGAGATGCAGTTTAAAGAGCTTGCTTTGCTGGTAAATCTTCACCCAGTCTCACATATATAAATGCATTCAGATCAAAGAAATAGTCAGTGACTCCTCTTCTTGCAAGTATTAGTAAATGTGAAGTGTATCTAACAAGGATAGTAACTGTCTTAAAAGTACACAAGCATGTTATGGTGGTGATGAGGTGAGCTTTGTATATGCACTTTCTGTGAGCAGAGGTGCAAAACTAAAGGGTTAATCACTGTCACATAGTAGTACGCTTGGGTACTAATTTAATCTGGGTTTATTAACAAGCTCTTTTTTATTTCTTTCAAGTAGGAAACTCTAAATGCTTTAGCAAGAAAATAAATTAGAGAATATATTTCAGGAACCACAGTATATTTTACTCAGTGCATGTTGTTGTAAGGGCTACAGGCCTGACCAGACATCTTCAGACATCAAGCTGCTGCATCTCTTTGATGTACTGTTTGGTGCCCATACTAGTGTGCAATCTGACTACTCCTCTCTGATGTGCAATTTCCCTTTCCTAAATTAAATAATTTAAAAGCTACTGAAAAGCTATTTCCATTACCTCTGATGTTTGCTAATGTCTTGGAGTCTGTTCATACTAAACCTTAAACAAATCATAGTTGTTTTCTGACCATTGCTCATGGAGAATGTCCTGACATTATCAGTGAGCTCTCAGATGTGTTTGCCTAATACTGCATGTAGCCCCTGAGCATCTGATAGCCTGGAGAATCTGATAAACTGAACATGTTTGCTCTTCTGTGTCTATTAGAAAGGTGGAAAGAAATTAAAATCAGCTGTGCCTGAGCAGCCTGATAGTGTCCAGAAGTACTGCTGGCCAATCTTAACATAAATCCATTTAGGCTTATATTAGTAATGTCTTCAGTTTCAGAGTATTCAGGTAGTATGTTGTTATTTTCAAAGAAAGGCACTACATTTATCCAGTGGACTAGTTTTGTTGCTTATTGGGACCAAGATACTTGCCCTGTAATATATCCAAAATCTGAAAAGATGGATTAGTTGTTTTGGGGTTTTGTATATTTTCCAGCTTAATTCTGCAATTAAAAACAGTTTTGTCTGTATGCTAAACAGTCATACGTTGCTTGTTACACAGAGTAACTGTGTTTTTCACAGAGCAAAAATATATTTGCTGTACCACCAAACTCCTTATTTCACTTATGGTATACAAGTCCTTCTGGCCTTTATTTCTTTCTAGCATTTCTCTGATGCTGTCACCATAGCAACCAGAAACTCTTAAAACTTTTAAAAAAATTCTAACAAGAAATTGTGATCATGGCTTAGGCTGCACTGAGGAGTACCTTCCATCTCTTTATATTGGTGTATTGGAAGGAAAGCTACAGGTGAGGGTGGAAATGGGAAAGGATACATTCCTGTACAAAAGATGTGCTTCATTATTTTTACTAATGTAAAAAGAAGTTGTGTCTGAAGTGATGAGTGGAACAGCTGTTTTATGTAGACATAAAAATGCCTGGTTATTTGAATTTAAATGTGCAATTTATGTTTTTAATTTACCAGTGAAGTTTTGTGTGGTTTCTTGAGACCCATTGGATGTGCACTGGCTATTTTTACAGATAAAACACAGCTATTTGGAGCTTGGGGTTTTTTTTGGTTGTTTTTTTTTTTGTTTTTTTTTTTTTTCTCTTAAGTTGAGTTCTGTGTTGGCAGGATCCCATCAGGCTTTACTTTAATTTTGTGCTGGATCTAGAGAGTGTCTACCAACCCACCATGACTCTGCAGAGTATTCTGGGCCACTCTGGCTTGGTACTGCCATTGCAGGAAGGCTCAGGTGAAACTATCCAGACTGCAAAATTCTGGGGGGTTATGCTGTGGTTAAAAATGTGCTTCTCTACTGTGCCTCCCTTCCTGCCTTGCACATGCACACACCTCCCTGCCTCCCACACTAGCCAGTCTTACCCCCCAAAAAAGTGGGGAGATAACTATACAGCTTAGCAACTCTTCTATTCAGAGGTCTGCCTTAGCATGCAGCATGCAGGCAGATTTTTCTCCTCAAAAACAAGCAATCCCACCCACACTTGAATTTTTTTCCTAGATATGTTATTTTGAAACCATCAGGACAGAGATGAAGGATGATTTAATTTATTTTTCCCCAGCTTTTGCAGTTGTTTAGCTTACTTTATTTTGTATTGAGTGAACATCCAGTATTTTTGCAATACCACTCCCTTTTGGGGCAGTTTATTTTCTTTAAAATATCAAAGTCCTTTCAATTCCTCATAAGTTTTGGCTTTTACTGCTCTTTTCTCAGAAGTTCAAAAGCCTTTCACATCCTTCAGAAGCCTCACCCTTTGGCCACAAAGGACTCACAACCTTTTGCATCACCTGAGGACATCCTCACTGGGCAGTTCTCTCGCCTTGCAGCTCCCTGCTCTGGCTTTTGTCTTCTCTGACATCTTCCCAATATCCTGCTGGGAAGTCATGACTCTCCTCCCACTGCGAGAGCTTACTTAGTTGCACTCTTTCATCATACAACCTGTGCAGCATTCTGTTCACTCGGAGGCAAGAGCTCAACTTGATGCATCATTGAAGACATACTACGAAATGTCCCTTAAAGATCCCCTGTGCACTGTGACAGCATTTTAAGGGAGAGGGACTTTGTGGTCAGGGTAACATTGTCTCAAATCAAGGCCATCCACTGTCTCTGTGAGGATCCGAGAAATCCCACTGCCTAGCTATCATTCATTTCTGTAGCTGTGATGGAACACTGGAAATTCACACCATCAACCTGCACCACAAGGGAACATCCTGAGAATTTCCCTTCTTTCTTACTATAAAACTGGGTTCCCTTCATTCCACCCTATTTCCATATTGCTCCTTTCCAC